AAGGCTAGAGCAGTCGAGGTCCTGCCAGTGCAATCGGCTTCTCGTGCCCCTGAGTGGCAGAGCGATCGGGACAAAGCTTGAACTGGGAACCGAGAACTGGCTGTGCTGGGTGGGGGCACTGCAATGGGAGCGGGTCACAGCCAGCGAATCGCGTTTCGCGCCAACGCCTCCCACCGCCTTCTGCAGGAGTGCAGTCTGCACGAAAGGCTGTGTGGACACTCAGCACCGCAATCGGCATCCGACCGAATCACGGCTAGCGCGTTGCGCAGACGGCTCGAGCGGCACGCGCCGAATGCTCAGGCCAAGTCGCAGAGCCAGACCCTGTTGCGGGAAAGTCCCAGCAAAATAATAAAATTGCAGCTGCAGTGCCGTTTCCAGAAAGGTGCCGACTCCTGCACTGGAATGACGTCGCTGCGCACTTCCGGAATCGACGCTCCGCTAAGGCAACAAACACGTTCAGCGTCTGTCTCCTTTGGGCCCTCGACCGACTCGGGGCTGGCGTTGCATTCTCTCTCAGCCCCAACGTCACGACCGTAGTCATGCATGCGCGCTGAGCACCAGCCACTGATTGCACGCTGCTGCACCCGAGCTTAGTCCCGTCCCCCAAGTGAGACGCCCACCATTCCGCCCACCTGGGCCTCAGATGATTCTGCCGAGCCCACACCTCTAAATTGGACCGTCAAGTCTATATAAGATCCAACCCGACGTCGCCGTCATCTGCATTCCAAGAACAACATCCTTTTTTTTTCGTCTCACGGCAGCCCTTTACGAACCCTTCCGCCCACTCGCAGCTCGCCCATCATGCCTTTCACTTGCAGCGACATCGTCAAGATCATCTTGGCCATTTTCCTCCCGCCTCTTGGTGTCTTCCTCGAGCGTGGCTGCGGCGCGTAAGTTTTCAGTTCTCGAAAGGACTCCCTCTCTTCACGACATGCTGACATCTGNCCCGCCTCTTGGTGTCTTCCTCGAGCGTGGCTGCGGCGCGTAAGTTTTCAGTTCTCGAAAGGACTCCCTCTCTTCACGACATGCTGACATCTGTCTTGGCTCCTTGCTTTTGATCTTGCCTGCAAACAGTGACTTCTGGATCAACGTCCTCCTGACCATCCTTGGTTACCTCCCCGGTATCATCCACGCGCTGTACATCATCTTCAAGTATTGAGCAGCCACCTCGTTACACGATACACGAAGCGAAGCAAGACGGATGCGATAACCCGGGCTCCTGCTTGCACTCGATGTCGCATTCCGCACCTTCTCGCCATGGACGACGCAAGCTATTCCCCCATCATGCGGCTCTGTAGCCTCGCTCGATGCTCCACGCACTGCCTCTCGACAATTTGATACCATGATGCTCAGCTTTTTCAACCTGGCGGCCGTTCGCGACCGTTGCATGGAGACACACCGATTGTATTGAAGTGACGCAGTTGCAGCTCACCAGCTAGTCGTCGACACGCTACCTCCAGTCAGAGCTACCTAGATGGCACCCTTGGTTCCATCCTGAGCCTGGATGGGAAGAGGCTTGGGCTCGGCATCTCCGCGCGCCTGCACCGTCCCCGTAAAGTCCTTGAAGATGATGTAGGCGTCGGTCAGCTCCTCGCGCCCGTCTTCGGTGCGCAGCGCGCCTGCCATGGGCAGTCGGCCAACAATGGTGAAGCCGAGACGTTGCCAGATGCGCACGCTAGCCATGTTGTTGACATAGACCAGGTTGAAGACGGAGCCCTTGTAGCCTGCCAGCGGCGCGTAGTGCAGGAAAGAGCGACCCAGCACACCGCCCAGACCCAGGCCTCGTCCGGCTGGTGGTACAACGAAGCCCGCATTGCACAAGTGCGACGATCGCCCTGGATAGTTTGGCTTGATGTAGTAAAAGCCTGCCACTTGAGCTGTGTAGTCCAACTTGGCGAGATCCGGGAGCTCAGAAAGGCTGCGCGCCTCCAGGCCATCCTCGGGAATGGTCGCGTCGGGACTGAGGGCAGTCAGTCGCCGGGCCGACACGAAGAATCCAACAATGAGGTCGTATCCGAGAAAGTAGCCCTCAAACTCAGCAAGCGGCATCGGTCCGCGCTGCGGATAGCTTACGCCCCGCTCGAGCTCGTCGTTGAATACGCCGGCCAGATACTCGACAAGTGCCTGCGGTGGACGGAGCGTGCGCTTGTCGCCTCGCTGTGCGTGCAAGTAGCTGTGCTGGTCGACGCCCTGTGCGTTGAAGGCCAGCGTCACGATGGCTTGACGCTCATCGCTCTGTGCCCGCTCCGGAAGCGAATAGAGGCGAGGTCGGAGCGTGCTGGGGTCCGAGCCGGCTGGTCGTGGCACATGTCCGTACGCCATCGTGTCTTCCAAAGGGCAGCGCTGTCAAAGAGACGCGATGCAGAAGATGGTCTTCGGGAGAGATGGACGGGATCTTGAGTTGGAAAGACAGACCAACCACATTTGCACCCCAGTCAAGATCCGCAAGCCCTCGCCAAGGAAAGCGCGGAGATGAGCCTTCGCCGAGGTCGGTGTCTAGGTCGGCGAGCATCGTACAGGCTTGTCCACATCGGCGATCGCTAGTCCCGATCCAGCGGCGATCTCCTCCTGCACCTTTCCTCGCTCGGCTTGCCACAACCCGACACGCAAAGATCGACGGCCAAGCACAGACACGCGCGAGGTCACGTCATCGCTTGCACGGCCTCTGAAGTCACAAAAGGTGCGGTGACAAGCTTCCACTTCCTGTGACACACTCGCCAAACTCCACACAAACCTCCTTTCCTGTCTCTCGAGGTTGCGCCCTCCGACATTCGTTCAAGCATTCATTGGAAGCTGCGGCTGAGCTTCTCGAGCCGTAGAAAGGAGGGGCGACAGGAGAGAAGGGCGTCGTCTGCTCCGGCAACGCGGGTCAGTCTCACTCGGCAATACAAAAAAAATGTTCGGTACCGTTCGACACGGACAAGATTTGATACACTTGTGAGCGGCGGGGTATGCTTTGGCGTAGGAAGAAATCGAAGTAAGCACAGCCGCAGATCCGGCAAACAGTCCACGCCGTGTCCGAGAGTAAAACAAGCTGCCTGGTTGCGTGTGCTCGACTTCTTAAGTCCGGCCGGTGTTCGTAGTCTCCATAAGTCTCCATATATATCGCGATCCCGGGTCGAGTCGTTACCCTGGAGTCTCAACCACCTCCGCCAACATGTCGCACCTCGAAATTCTCAAAAAGCCCGTCGTCTTCTCCAACGGCCTCTCTGCGCCCAATGCGACGCTCAAGAGCGCCATGACCGAGCGTCTCTGCACGTGGTCCGACACCGACTTCAAGAAGCGTGGCTGGCCCACGCCCGAGTACATCCAGCTCTACAAGACGTGGGGCGAGGGCGAGATCGGCACCATCATCCTCGGCAACATCCCTTGCGACGCGCGCTTCCCCGAGGCCAAGAAGAACGCCTGCATCGACCCCGAGATCGCCTCGCACAACGAGTACGTCAAGGCTTACAAGCCCGTCATCGATGCCGCCAAGGCTCACGGCTCGCTGGTCATCGCGCAGGTGACGCACGCCGGTCGACAGACCTCGGAAGATGTTGCTCCCACGCCGGTCTCGTCGTCCGATGTGCAGTGCCCGCCACGCATGGGAATGTCGTTCGGCAAGCCGCGTCCGCTCACCGTCGACGAGATCCACGACATTGCGCGCCGCTTTGGCTTTGCGGCCAAGGTGCTCTACGAAGCCCAGTGCAACGGCATTGAGCTGCACGCTGCGCACGGCTACCTCCTCTCGCAGTTCCTCTCGCCGCGCGTCAACAAGCGAACCGACCAGTACGGCGGTGACCTCGAGGGGCGCTCGCGCATCGTGTTCGAGATCATCGAGAGCATCCGCAAGGCGGTGCCGGACCCCAAGTTCATCATCTCGATCAAGATCAACTCGGCCGACTTTGCCGAGGGCGGATTCGAGGCCGAGGAGTCGTTCGTCATTTCCAAGAAGCTCGAGGCTGCCGGCGTCGACCTGATCGAGCTCTCGGGCGGCACCTACGAGAGCTCCGGCTTCGAGCACAAGAAGGAGTCGACCATCGCACGCGAGTCGTTCTTCATCGAATTTGCCGAGCGCATTCGACCGCACCTGACCACGGCCAGGCTCGCCGTCACGGGCGGCTTCCGCTCGTCCAAGGCGATGGCCAAGGCCGTGGAGGAGAAGTCGTGCGACATTGTCGGTCTGGCACGACCCCTCTGTGGTGAACCGTACCTGAGCAAGGAGCTGCTCAGCGGTCAGAAGGAAAAGGCAAGGCAGACGCACCCGGACCTGCCCAAGGAGATCGAGATTGCTGCCTGCGTCATCCAGATCCACCAGGTCGGCAACGGCGCCACGCCATGCGACACCTCGACTTCGGAAGGTGCCAAGTTTGCCACCAACGCCGTCATGAAGCTCCGGGAGCCCCAGCACGGTGCCGAGAAGGATCAAAAGCTGTAAAACCCGTCTCCCTTTGTCCGATAGAGATACATACACTCACTCGCAAAATAGAGATCGAGAGCACCTCTTTGAAATAGTCGGATGGTCGAATGGCGCCCATCGCTGCGTGAACGTGAACGCTCTTGACAATGCAAAACTCGGCGGCACGAGGAAGCGACACCTACGAGAGGTCCCTCAGCCCGAACGTCTGGGCGTGCAGTGCCGAGTGGGCTCTGGCTATTGTGGTTGCGGCCAGCGAACAGAACGCTGCATCCGTATGCAGGGCCCCTTTGTCCGTGTGGGTCCGGACCGTGGGATTTCATCTTGCCCTTTGTTCGCAGCATGCGCCACCCGACGGAGCAAGGACGTGCTTGTGATTAGACGAACGACACACTATGCTGCTCGGAAGCTGAGCAGACCCGAGGCCGCTTTCCTTTGCGCTCTTGACCCTCTGGTATCGGTTGACAACGCTCCCTCATAAAAAGCGCATCCTCGAAAGCTCACCCGAAACTCTGATCTCTCATCCCTCTCCTCGATCAGCTGATCTTCGAGCCATTTTGGCGCCGAAGTGACCTGTCTCTGACACTGTACTGCTTCCAAGATGTCTGCTCAAAGGTCACAGGATGACATGGCTGCGAGCCCAGCTGCCAGGCAGACCGCATTCAGCTTCGGCGCTCTCGCCGGCTTCTCCTACGATCCGTGCAGTGGCTTCTCACCGCCCGCACAAGATCAGTCGTTCTACAGCCGTCGTCCGGCAAGCGACTCTTCTCGCAACACAGCTCCTGGTGACATGACTCCAGTGCGGCAAAATTCCGCTCGACAAGGAGAACCTCGCGAGCTTGAGCAGATTCGCGCTTCCGAACCATATTCGTCCGAGCAGTGCGTCTCGCCCCAGCTCATCGTCCCTTCGCAGGCCGCTCGCAGGCCGCCCGATCATGGCGCCCAAGTCTCTCAATCTGCAAACAGCTCGATGGTCCATGATCCTACAGTCTCCCAGCGTTCTGAGACCTCGAGAGACAATGCTACACGCGTTTCCCAGCGTCTGACCTTGGATGAGGACAATTCTGGATCCATCGACACTGCCCAGAGTCAAACGCCACCGCCAGACATCACCGAGTCATATGAAAGGACAGTCATATCGATTTCGAGTGAGTCAGAAGACCAATTGTCGAGCTCTTCCGACAGCGGCAGTGACAGCGACAGCGACATGCCCCTCAATGTCTTCCGTCGACCCGGACAAGCTTTCGTCACGACCAGATCTGCCGAGCTTTTGCACCAGTCTTCACATGATCGAGAGCGACAAGAGTCGAACCTGCAGGCAGAGCGCCCAGCTTCCACACCTGCGCCCGAAGATCCACTCCCAATCTCAGCCAAGTCACCTCAAAGCCCCGATCCTGGGCCACTGATCATAGAGCACAGGTTTCAACGCGATGTGAACTGGGACAAGAAGTGCGATCGCTGTCGGGACGAAGGTTTCCGCTGTTACACTGCGCAAAACACAACGTCTTGGGCAAAATCGTGCTTTCTCTGCTACCAAGACCACAAGATCTGCGCCATCGACGGCGTGCGCACCCACAAAGGTCGCTCCGCAAACGTGCATCCGTCCCAAAAGAAGCCAAAACAGGCCACAGCAGCTAAGAGTCCTCCAAAACAGAATCAGCGCACCTCAGCTCGGCTTTCAAAGAGGAAATCGGACGTTTCCTCTTCGCAGAGCGCCGCCCGTCACGCCTCCCCGGAGCTTCCGAGGACTCGTTCGCAGAAGCGCTTGAAACAGGAAAGAAGAGGTCGCCCCAGAAGACACACGCTGCCGCCCGCAGCCTGAATAGCATCAGAAGAGGATGAAGAAGAGGATTCGGACGCCAACGACACACAGCCCAAGGCGAGGAAACGGCGACGGAACGGCACATTTCGTCCCCTGGCAGAAAGCGAAGATGAGCTTGCGGATGATCCCCCATCCCAGCCAACGGGGTCCGACGATCAACCTTCGAGCAAAGACCAACAACTTCGGGAAAAGAGGGCTCCGCTCTGCAACTCAGGCGTCAGCAATACGGATCCTACGGTCTCCGAGCCTGCAGGTGCGGACAGGGCAGTCAATGTACACGGAAAATCTGCGGAAAAGCTGGCGTCAGAACGAGGGCTTGGTCCATTCGAGCGGCAGCGCTTGGAGAAGTACGCGAGCATGCTCTTCAAAGACATCTCGACTGCCGTTGGGCGATGCCGCGAGCGGGTGGCGGAGATGTCAGACGATGCAGGACTGCTTGCGCTCGAAAGCACCCTTGAAGTGCTTGTGAGCGATCTAGCAAAGCTGACAGCGGTAGATCACCAAGCCAACGAGGCAGCTCAGGTCTACTGGTTCGTACCGCAGGTAACCGAGTATCTGCAGCGTATTCGTCTCGAGTGCCAGCTGGTGCAAGAGCGACAAGAGCCTCCCGCAGCTGGACCTGGGTGGACCGGGAAGGAGCTCAAAGCTAGACACGTTGCTTCGGCTTTGGCATGCGAAACGCTCTTTGACCGGTGCTTGAGCCTCATCTCGATGCACGAGAACGAGAAGTAGAGCACAACCATGTATGTCCTTACCCACTGAAGACTTGCAAAGCATCACTTGGACGTGAGAGCAGCTCCTCTTGTGCAATTAGATTCAACACGAGAGTCCCTTTGTGTAAGTGTGTGCGTGAGAGAAGAGCGGACGGCCTACACGCACACGCGCATGCAACCGCCCGGACCTCATTCGCCTGGAAGAAGGAGGCCCGGCACGAGGGAGCAGTGTCCCTTTGTTCGGGCATCCGCTCTCGCTTGCAAGATGCAGCTTCATCTCATTGTCGAGCCGTGCCAGGTGGGTGTTGGCAGTTGGAGCGGATCGCTCGCACTTGCAGCTGCAAAATGGAAACGTATAAGAGGGGCACTGCCTTCGACCCGCTCATCCTTCTTCCCCTCGACCAAGCATCATAGCGAACTAGACGAGAAGCGACAGATCCACCAGAGCACGTACTGCGTCACAGGGCCTCATCCATCAAGCAAACGTCGCTGAACCTACCGATGCCGCAGCTTCGGCTTCAAATCAAGAGCGCATACGTTGACGATGTGCCGACGTTCTCGGAAGGCGAGCCAGAGCCCCTCACTTTCAGGACAGCGCGTCCCACGGCCATGTCGAGGCCCAAGCCCGTCTTTCTGCGCCAAGCACCGATCCCACGTTTGCCAGAACAAAGGGACCTGAACGATAATTTGGCGGTGGCTAGCGTCGAATCGTGCTTTCGACCAGGGTCCACGCCGCGGCCAGGTGCAGGAAATTCGTCCACGTCGAGTTCTGCGCAACGCGGCATCTTGCGTCCGGCCATCAAGCGCCGCGGCAACACCTCGACTGCCCGGAGGCGGGTCCATTTTCAAACCGACCTCGACGATAGGGACCGATTCACCAATGCGCCCTCAACGCCGCGGCATCCATCTCTCGTCAGTGCCTCGTCGGAACCTGTGAAAGTCAAGCTCGAGGACGAAGATGGATTGGGCACTTGCCTCGGCGCGCCGGCGGGTGGCAACGAAGTAGACTCTCTGGATCACGGGAGCAGGGCAGAGGCAAATCCTCTGTTTTTTGCTCCAGACGAGCCTGCGTGGCAACACGAAGAGGCTGCGACGAGCCCGAGAAGAAGGACAAAGGGCCGTCGCCGCAAGGTCGGAGTGTGGCGTCAGCGCTGGCGCTCTTTCCTCCGGTTCTCAGCTCAAGGCCATCGTGCCCGGGCTTGTAGAGGCAGCCGCGGAGCAGCTGTCCCTCTGTGCCCACTTGTGAGGCGCGCTTATCGCATGCGCGTTGCGGCCAGTGGCACAGCTGAAGTGCTTGAGAAGCGGCGTGGAAGAGCTCCCACACAATGTGGGTGCTGCATAGGCCCAGGCATGTCCAGGGGCTTGTTCGCCAAACTGCTCGAGGTGCCATTGTGCCCTGCGGGAGAATCCGCTGTCCAGCGCAGGGGACCCGTGAGTCGTGCCGTGCGAGGGCCTAAGCTTCGTCGTAAGGCACAAACTCTGCGAAAGGCTAAGCGCACATGCCCCCCCACCAGCGTACCTTCGATTGTAGTCGCACCCGCGACGGAGGCGCTGAGTTCCGACCCGGCGAAACCACCGCCTCGCACACTTCCTGTACGGCAGCTGTCCTTGATGTACTGCGCGACCAACGTTGGCGATTTTATGATGTATGCGTCGGCAATGCTGGGCAGCTGCAGACACATGCTACACTTTCCGCCCCTCCAGCTGCTCAGCGGGCTGCGTGCCCTGGCACACGAGCTGCTGCAGCGCTCGCAACCGATCCGCGATGCAGAGCATCAGATTGCAGCTCACGGAAGAAGCACGATCCGCAGACTGCGTGATTTGCTCAAACACATCCTTGTCGCAACGCAGATCACCAAACTCCTGCCTGCCAAGGTTACCTCCAACATGTGGGAGCAGTCGCGCTGCATCAGTCTCGCCAAGGTAGATGCCATCAAGAGGCTGCTCGACCGTGCTCTGCTGCCGCAGCCAGCAGGCTTGCCATCGGCCAAGAGTGAGAAGCTCAAAGTGCCGAGTGCATCGACGCAACATCTCCTTGTCCCTGCTCGAACTCGATGACAAGAGCGAGGAGGGGCAACGGTAGCGAGCCTGTCTTGCTTTATTTTATTTTTCTTCTCATTTCTCGACATTTTCGTTTTCATTTTCATTCCGCATCTTGACTTTGCCCGATTGGTGGCCCTCCCTAGAAGTGGACTGTGAATCGGCTGTATCGGGGAGCTGTCTAGCCTCCACCTTTGTCGCTGCGCTTCGAGGGAAATTGCGATTCGCCTCTTCCTCCTCGCACCACCACCGCCCTCCAGTGCGCATCCCCCCAGCCGTTCGCCTTAGAGATGCTCTCCGCTAACAGAGCTGCTGAGCCTCCGTTCCAGCTCGATCAGCCCGACAGCACGGCAGCCATCCACGAGCTGCTCACAGATGCGCATGCGGAAGCGCTCGTGGGTTTGCTCGAAGAACCCGTCGATGCCAGGCTCAAAATCTACGCATACTTCCTTGGCAGCGACGAGGAGCGCACTGATGCTCTCCTTGCCTCTACCGCGCAGATTCCTGAGGCGCTCTACCCAATCTGCCTCGTGCTGAGGTATCTCATTCTCAAGGAGCATAGCCGTCTCGGCGAGTCCAGCCGTCGCTTCAATTGGTCGCTCAAGCAGATCCACGCCGCCGTTGCATCTGCTTATCACGCCCACACCGTCCACAGCGCTCTTGCAGCCGACCCACAGATGACAACGCTGCCATCTCATCTTGCCTACCCCGACGCTCTCAGCGTAGAGCCCACAACGCGCGACATCCACCTCCAGTCCAGCGTCCAGCTCACGCTGCTGGCCGCTTGGCAGCTCGCTCAATCGATGCTTCTCTGCCCCGCCCCTTTCAGCACGCCACCAAGCGCACTCGTCCTTGGCTCGCTCTTTCACACTGTCGCGCAGACACCAGATCCCGCCACGCGAGAAGGCATCGCCGCGGCCTCCAGCCCGATCGAAAATGCAATGCTCGATTGGATCTTGCACGACACTGAGCAGCTTCTCGCCATCGACGTCGAGGCACTGCGCAAGGCGAAACGAGAACGCAAGAAAGAAGAAAAGAAGCAACAGGTAGCAATTGCAGAGGCCGAAAAGAAGAAGGCTGCTGCCGCCGCCAAGCAGACCACCGCACGTTCGGGCTTCAGTCTGCTCTCGCTCGACAACGACGAACAAGTGGACGACGACGACAGCGACGAGGAATAGGCTAGCCGAAGCACGCAATGAAACAGCTTTCAAGAAGGTCTGCGCGTGCCTTTCAGGTCCAGGAAACCGCCGGTCGAGAGAGACATAGGCCAGTCGCCGTCCGTATCACCGCATCCTTCCATCTCTTGCTCGGTTAACACGATCTCCACCTTGCGCTCTCCTTCGGGCGTGCCGGGGAACAGATCGTCAAAGCTCAATCGGCATCGCGACGTGTGACGCTTGCCATCAATGCGCACCTCGCTGACGAACGCCTTGACTCCCTGGGGAATGGTCTTGCCGATCGAACGCTCGTCATAGCCAACCACATTCACCGTCGCCTTGCCCAGAACCGGATTGTGGAGCGTATAGCCGGGCATGAAGGGGGAGAGGATCAGCAGCTCCTTGGTGCCCGGCGTCGGGTAGAAGCCGAGCAGGTAGAATCCAAGCAGCGATGCCATCGCTGCGTTGTCGTCATTGCCCGGGATGCCGCCCGGCTTCAGCGAAAAGTACGTGTCGACTACCTCGCGCACCCGTCGCACGCTGCGGTACGGCTTGCCAAGCACGTGGTACAGAGTCGGTGTGTCGAAACTCGGCTCGTTGCCCGGCGCAAAGTATCCCTTGCTGAAAAAGTGGTCGAGTCGCTTCTCAAACGTAGCGTTGCCGCCCATCAGCTCGACGAGACCGGCCCGGTCGTGAGGCGCGTAGAAGCTGTACTCCCACGAGGACGACTCGTAAACGCCAAAGTCATTCTCGGCCTGCAAGCTGCATGCATGACTCGAGTTGTTGTCCAGCGGCGAGCAGAAGGTCGGGTCGCTCGGCACAAACGTGCCATTGGCACGGCGTCGCTGCACAAAGGTCTTGAAGCCATCGCTCATCGTCCCGTGATCGAAATTGAGCGAGTAGTTGAGCGAAGCCATGGCGTACCGCTGTACATCCTCGACCGGTTTGCCCAGCGCTTGCGCCGTCATGGCCGCGGTGAAGTCGCCAAAGGCATACTCGAGCGAGCGGCTCGCCTCGCGCGTCTGCTCACCCACCGAAGCCGGGTCCAAATAGCCAAAGGGAATGTAGCCATACAGCTGGTACGGCGCAGCCTGTCGGCCTTCGTATTCCCACTGCGGCCAAGGCACGTCAATGTCGTGCTGCATGGCGCGGTAAAGCTCGTCCGTGTCGACACCAAGCGAGCTTGCCGCCTTGGCATACTTGACAGCAAAGTCGGCCAGCACGGGCACACCATGGTTGGCACCCTGTACGAAGCCCTTGACCTGATTGGCTCGGCATTCCGGCAGCCAGCCTTCCTTGCGCCAGCCGTCGATGTAGGTCTCGACGATCTCGCCAAACTCGTGCGGGCTGGTGAGCGAGAGGAAGGGAAAGAGCGTGCGGAACGTGTCCCAGGTGCAATACATGCCATCGAAGTAAGGCGAATCGGTCGCAAAGGGGCTGTCGCCCGTGGCGTTGTTGGGCGAAAGGAAGGTGCGGTACATGCTGGTGTAGAAGAGCCTTTGGATGTAGTCGGGCGTCGCGGCGCTCAGCTCGATGCGTCGAAGCTTGTCTTCCCACGCCGCCTCGCTGGAAGCCACTGTGGCATCAAAGTCCCAGTCGCCCACCTCGGCTTCCATGTTGCGGCAGGCGTTCTCGGCCGATGCGAACGAGACGCCGCGGCGCACCATGATGGTGACATCTTCTTTGGCTTCGCGATCCACATCGAATCGAACCAGAGCACCTGCCTGATATTGGCCGATTTGCTGGGCTACTCTGACCCAGTGGTCGAGATCCTGACGCTTTGTGTCGTAACCGCGTCGATTTCCGCCAAAGAAAGCGTGTGCCGAGAGGCGTTGCTTGCCCTGGAAGAGAAGGTCGACGCATTGGAAGGCCTGGTAGCGGAAGTCACCTGGGCCAAACGAGCTGAGCCAGGTGCCATTCATCGTGAGCCGGCCCTGCTGCCAATCGGCCTTCATCTCACCACCGCGGAACGTACCCGGCGAGTCGTTGGTCCAGTCGAGCACGAGGTGCGGGTTCGACTTGGCCCGGCGCATCTCGGCAGCGGGGAAGGTGTACTTTTCGAGTGTGCTCCTGCGCGTGCTGGTGAGCTCGATGCGGATGCCGTTGTCGAGCGTGGTGGTGAAGTAGCCCGGACGGCCGTGATCAGTGCCGTTGCGACGCATGCGCTCGCGAGGCTCAAGCAGCGTGGTGCAAGCGTCGAGCTCGTTGTCGGCACACAAGATGGGCATGATGCAGAAGTTGCCGTAGCTACCCGAGCTCGAGCCGGTGCCCGAGTCGTGGAGGGGGCTCACACCGCGCGTTGGCTTGTCCGAGGGCCAGACATAGCCAGCAGGGGCGTAGCCTTCGACGTTGATCGTGGCTTTGGCCATTCCGTATGGCACAGAAGCACCCGCAAAGACGTCACCCGGATCGTCATTGGCCTCAGTGCCCACGAAGATGTTGACGTACTGGGTCAGGTTTGTGGCATCGGTGTGCGGCTTGAGTTCGGCATCGCTAGGTGGAGCGCCGGCGGACAATGGAGTTGTAACACGAGCGTACAGACCCGAGCCAGCATCAGCGGGAAGCTGGAACGACTGTTCGTGCACTGCATTTGATGCAAGAGGCGCGCTGCGCGACGTGGATGCGTCTATCCACACGACGGCAGTGGCGAGAAGGAAGCGGGTTGTCACCTTCATTTGTCAAGAGCGTCGTCTAGGGCTTGTTGAAGACCTGAATCGTAAAGGGAAGATTCACGGAAAGGCTGTCATCTTATACACATCCACGGTCCTGTGGTCACAGCGACTCGGCGAGGGCCCCACCGAAGCGCCTCTGATTGAACCTTGACGAGGATCGCAAGCCATGCTGCGCCAAACCGAGGGTCCCACCGAGGCTTTAGTGCGAGGCTCGTGCACACGCTAAGCGCGGCGGCACCTCCATGAAGCCCACTTAATTTGGCGGGCTCATGCATGCACCGCTCTCGATGGAGCCATTGTGGGTTCTGGGAGGGGAACGGCGGGCGACTTTTCGGAAGACGAGGTACAAGGAAGGAGATGAATGATCATTCAAGAAGATGCAAAAGTGAATTGGCCTACACGCGACGCCAGACCATGATGCGTTCCACGTCCGGGCGCGTCTCTGGACCCTTGGGCTTGAGCTCGGCGAGTTCCTGCCATGCAGGGTTGCCTTGGGCAGTGGTTTGAGATCCGAGCAGCTCGCGTACGAGGTCCGGAGAGAGGGAGAAGGGAGGGCCGCCGGGGCGATTGCCATGGATGGGGAATACAAGCGAGATCAGGATGGCATCCTTGGCCAGCAGCCGTGTGTATGTCTCGGCCCAGGCGGTACGGAGCGAAGGAGGGATGGCGCACAAAAAGGTGTAGTCGTACGCTAGTACCGCCTGTGCAGGCTTTGCAAGCGCTTTTGCTGCGCTTTTGTCTGTACCAAGGGTGAAAAAGTCGGCTTCGACAAAGTTGACGTTGGAGCCGATGTCGGAGTCAAGGTTTTGATTCCGTAGCCACTGCGACAGTCGGCACAGTCGTTTCGAGCGTGGAGAATGTGAGTCTGCTATGTTTCGCCACCAAGGAACATGTCACACTGGAGTACCTACTTGGTCGGCTGCTGCAACAGCATTGCTACTGATGTCGACGCCGTAGCTCGTCAGTCCGCGCTCGGCGAACACTCTGGCGTCGTAGCCTCTGCCACACCCCGGCACGACTGCTGTGCCTGACCCCCTGGGAATGACCTTCGAGACAGGGACAAGGTTGCCATTGAGGTCTTCTACCTTGACATCAGCATCATGTCCACCACTGAGTAGCTCCACGAGCGCCGGCTGTGGTCGATTCGAGTCCCAGGGTGTCGTGGAATCGATCCACGCCTGATCCCATGCCTTGGCATCATTAGGGATGTCTGAGGAGGCGAAGAGCTTCCTTAGTTTCTGGACCTGGTCGTCCTTTGAGATAGAAGCGGTCATGATTGCAAGGCTTCGGCGAGAAGGGCTTCGGCGATGGAGTTGCAGAGTGCGAGCTAAGCGTAGGGTCATCGAATGGAAAGGCCAAGACCTGTCGTTTGGGACCCTTTGCGGGGAAAGTGGTCGCAGGAGAGGGGGAATTCGGCATTCGGGACTCGGCATCAAGCTTTGATGACCGTCGCGGCAGATTATGACGTGGAGGTTGGATGCTCCACAGTCAGTTTTCCCCCTCCACGCGGACAGCTTCACTCAGCCCCACTCACTGTCGGCTCACCATCCATCGCGGCCGCCGACGACTGGATCAGACTAGCCATGCCGTCCTCGAGTGCAAGGCAGCGCAACAAGAGAGCATTGGAGTCGACGGGTGGCGTTCCGCGTTCACCGGCGTCCAAGGGCAAGGGTCGCCGATCCGGAGAAGGTTCGAAGCTGCAGTCGCTGCTCTACATTCTCCTTGCAACCACGGTGCTGCTGGCTGGATATCAGATCGCCCGCTTCTACTATCGAGGTCACGCAGCGCTTTCGCCGCTTTCCGCATGGACGAAGACCAAGTACGGCGCACACGGTCGAGTCGGGTCGGTCGGATCTGCCAGCGTGGCCAAGGCGAGGACCAAGTTCAATAAGCTCGCTCCCGAGGGCGCAGTGGCAGGTGCACCAGCGCTCGTGCCGGGACAGGAGACGACCGACTCGCTGGATGAGCTGCGGGAAAGGATCGGGCGGGAGGGCGAGCTGGATGCGCAGTTTGATGAAGACGGCAACCTCGACCTAGCTACGATCCAGCGCATGCTCGACATCCTGTACAAGCCCGCAAGAGACGGCGCCAAGGGCGCGGCCCGTGCAGCCGGACGCGTTCTCGAGGCGGCCACAGAGGGCGAGGTCGATACCGAGGCGGCGGACGAGGCTGAGGTCGCTGACGAGAGCGCGCCGTGATGTCAGTCGACGCTCATACCATCAGAGAGCTCGAAGAACGAGCCCTACCTCGACATGCAACCACCACCCAGCTGCGGAACCATGCTGCTTGATAGCATGCTTCTCGCAGCCATTTCCCGATCCAAGACCGCATCGCTGTTCGGGCATCGGGAGCCCGATGGATCAACCGCTTCTTTGTTCTAAAATTGTAATGACACGATCTCACACTGCTCGCCTTTTTCGGTTGTCGCCACCGTCGTCGGCAACGTTTGCGTGAACCAAAGCAGGACGAACAAGTTGGCAGCCGGTCGAACAAAGCACGGCAACGTCTTGTCGCTATCCGAGACCTTGGCGATTCAGCCGGTCGGCGAATGTCTTTCACGTCAATGCCATCGGCCAGGTGGCGTCCCGGATCGCTGGTCTCTCCATGCGGATCTGGAATCATTTGTTTGACGCCGAACAATGGTCGCTGATGTATTTTAGACCCTGGGGCACCAGCTACGAGGGGGATGACGGGGAAGCTAGTATTCGTCAAGGTCCAGACCGAGAATGGAAGGCCTAGCGTGTGCTTTTGCGCCGGGGAAGTCGGGGAACGTGCTCAACCAGTAGAGCTGCCGAGACTGGTGGAGCTAGGTTGGGAATGCCGTGAGCTTAATTTGTCGGTGTTCTGAGCTTCGCTTCAACGTTTGACCGATGCCGCTAGGCTCGTACAAGCGAGCTGGAGATGAGCGTAGATAGGCAATTCTGCGCTCACTCGACCATAGACACTTCGGTAGAGCGGCATTTGATTTTTTCGGCTCTGTAGACTCTGAACGATGGTTCTTGGTCGGTGACTCTCGCTGTCTACACCGTATTGACGGTTGTCCACATTGTTCGAACCTCCATTGCATACGTGACTCGCCGCGGCAGTTTGGACCCAGGTTGATGCGACGGAAAGTCGGTCCCTGGAGATTCATATGGGCCCGTGTGGGCTTGTTCTCAAAGCACCTGGCTGCATCACGTGCCAGGACCTGCAGGATGCTGTCGGCCATCCGAAGATCCACGAGCAAGAGCACGTTCACGCAGGAACCATGCGAATTCGAAGATGAACCACAGGCAGCCTTGCATCGGCTCAAACCGGCGGCGGCTTGGACTTGCACGGCGGATGTGGACGGTAGGTTTGTCGCATGTGGTCCAGCGGAGAAATCGAGCGCGACCGACGATGCAGGTACGGGAGCGTGCCTCGGCCTGCGGCAAACTGCCGACCTCGCAACGGCGACCGCCGAGCGTTGGAACGCTGAGTGCGCAGAGCTCTGTGAAACAAGTCGGGTGGGACCATGTGCAAGCCGCGCGCCAGTCTTGATGTCGCTGCTGCGGCCTGGGCGAGACCTGTCAGCGAGCGGTTGGTCAGCGATCCATGTTGCGGCGATCAAAGTCGCCACCAGCTCCCGCCTTATGTGAATGCTGCGATGTGACCTCTGGATCGAGAGTCTCAAGCGAACTCAGAGCACGCTGGCTGAAGGTCCCAAGGGCGAACGGACCGAGTCACAGGTTTGTGGCGGAGTGGAAAGGTCGATTTGAAATTCGACTCGACTGACGCCGTGTAGAGAGAGTGCTGCCAAAGTCTGGTCCGCGATCTGTGGTTCTGCGAGTGCGCTTCGATTGCTCGGCCCGCTGTGTAGCGTGGTCCTGGAACGAGGAACGAGGAGGCTTGGTCGGAGGACGCTTGATCGAATCGATCCTTTTGCGGACCAAACGGACGGAAGTTGAAACTGGCTCGAGCGGACAGCTTCGGTTGTGCGCGTGGTGCATGCCAAGCCCTGATCGCTTGCAGGCCTGCACCTGCCGTGGGCCGCTCCGCGTTGGAAACCGGCGTTGCAGCCGTGAGCAGCCTTATTTGGACCTGGCGACGGCCACTAGTCCGGAAGGTTTGGCCCAGTGACACGGTGTGAGGCGGCCATCGCAACAAGGATTTGGTGCACAAGTGGGCCGGGCGGCGAGCAAAGCCTAGAAAAGGAAAGGCCACGCGAGGCTGTTTCGACATGAATTTCAAGGAGCCAATCAGCGAGCGTGAAAGTCGAACGTGTCGATGCGGAGTGCATGAAGCAGAGCTGCATGGCTGCGAACGTGGACACTTTGCATGAATTCTCCGCTCCTCGACAGGGCGCAATCTGCCAGTTTCAGCGAAAGAGACTCGCACACACCCAGGCTCGCCTGTCTCGGTGTGGACCCTTGCGACAGCCATGGGCGAAAACGTCCGCCTTGGTCAGCTTGAAGCGTGCTTGCAACCAGCGACGGACGAGACGTCTCCGCACAGCCAGACGCAACCTCGACGAACGTGCGCTGCGCAGCCAAGGCGAGGCTTGGCTTGCGCTCGGTTCAAGGTGGTCACGTTCCGTCTCCATCGCCGTCGTCGCCGTCGTGGCCGCCGCTCGACTCCGTTGCCGCCCGCACTTGGCCGCATCTGCCGCCCTACCGCGGCCAGCTTGGATGCCGCCGACTTGGCAAGTGGCGTTCGACATGCCGTCGGGGCCGAGTCGGGCGCACGAGTGGCAACACAAACAGGCAGGCCGAGTCGGTAGCGTAGTCGGCTCTCGTGCCTGTCAAGCCCCACATCACACGTCGGGGCGAGCCAATGGCAAATTGCAGTATGAGAGCACGCTCAGACGTAGCCGGGCCAATCAACTATCAGCCGTCTGCAGCAACGAGAACTATCATCCCGTGTGCGAGCAAAGAGAGGGCGCAAATCACTGTGATTCGCACCGAATCCGATGCAAGGCTGCAGCCCAGCCTCTGCCCTCTGCATCGACGATGGGCCGGGCGCCCCAGAGCGGCAAGCAGAACGGCTCGAGTCTGGATCTGCGTGGTGCTGCAGCCTGAAATTTTTGGTACGCAAGCGGCAAAGTGCCCAAAACATCCACCAGAAAAATCCAACTTTGTTTTGCAGCCGCATCCGCTAAGCCTTGGAGCCGGCGAGACGGGACCCAGCTTTCACCGTCGGCCTATCACTCGGAACGTGTCGTTCAGAGTTCGTTTCTTCCACCGCTGGTTGGGCCTCTTCGCACATCGCCGCTCCAGTCCGCCCGAACCACGCAGCGTCTAGAAAGAGGTCGCCTCGCCCGTCCATCCTCGCCCCGGGTGCCTTGCAGATGAGATTCGCCCGGTCTCGATGTGATTGCCTCCCGCCACTCACCGCACCACGCCGTCCCACCACGCTGCGACCCGCCCAGCCCCTGCCTGACTTTACGCCCACCCGTCTGTGCCTTGGTCACCCCGTCCGCCCAGACCTATATCAAGTCGGGACCTCCTCGCCCCTTCCTTCCTCCTTGCCCCCACCAAGCTCCTCAAGCCTTCTCGCCCCACACCTCACCCTCACCCCCCTTCCCGTCACTTTCTTCCCACTCGCGAAGAAAAGTCACATCCAACAAAATGGCTTTCGGTAAGGACATGGACGCCTGGGCCGGCGACACCGGCCTGTCGCTCGTCGAGAGGAACGAGAAGAAGTCGCGCTTCTCCGTCTCGTGGGCCGAGGCCAAGCTTCTCACCATCGCCGGTGTCGGTTTCCTGATGGACGCCTGGGATCTCTTCATCATCAACATCATCTACTCCATCATCCTCCTCGCCTACTACCCCAAGGGCACCAAGAACATCGACTGGGGTCTCCAGGGCGGTGTGCTCAAGGCTTCCGCCAACATCGGCAACATTGTCGGTCAGCTCTTCTTCGGCTTCTGCGGTGACATGTTCGGCCGTTCCGCCGTCTACGGCAAGGAGCTCCTCATCGTCATCGTCGCCGTCATCCTCCAGATCTCGGCTCCCGACTCGATCGGCGGCCACGGCATCACCATCTGGCTCGCCGTCCTCCGTTTCGTCATGGGCATCGGTATCGGCGGTGACTACCCCATGAGCGCTACCATCGTCTCTGACCGATCCTCGCTCAGGAACCGTGGTTTCCTCCTCTCCTGGATCTTCTCCAACCAGGGTTGGGGTAACCTCGTCGGCGCCCTCTTCGCCGTCATCGTCATCGCCGGCTACCGCCACTACGTCGACGCCGGCCAGGTTCACAAGCTCTCGGGCGCCTGGCGCATCCTCCAGGGTCTTACCCTCATCCCCGCCTTCATCGTCCTCTACTTCCGTCTGACCCTCGTCGAGTCCACCCGATTCACCCAGGCTCGTAAGCTCCAGGACGACCCCGAGCTCATCGCCAAGGGCCACAACAACCTCAACCGCTCCAACTCGGACGACGACGACCTCAAGGAGAAGGCCCTCGGCGGCGACGTCACCCCCATCGAGAACACCGCCGTCGGCATGTCGTTCAAGTCGATCGGCAAGCCCAAGAACGAGTTCATCGAGTACTTCTCCCAGTGGAAGAACGCAAAGAAGCTCATCGGATGCGCCGCCTGCTGGTTCCTCGTCGACATCACCTTCTACGGCATCAACCTCAACCAGTCCTCCATCCTCTCCGCCATCGGCTTCACCAAGGGTTCCACCTGGGGCAAGCTCATGAAGACCGCCACCGGCAACCTCATCATCACCGCGGCAGGTTTCCTGCCCGGTTACTTCTTCACCATGTTCACCGTCGACATCGTCGGCCGCAAGCCCATCCAGTTCATCGGTTTCCTCGCCAACGCCCTCTTCCTCGGCATCCTCGCCGGCCGCTTCAACACCCTCAAGAACCAGACCGGTCCCTTCTTCACCGTATTCGTCTTCTTGCAGCTGTCGTTCAACTTTGGCCCCAACTCAAGCACCTTCATCATCCCTGCGGAGGCCTTCCCTACTCGCGTACGAGCTACGGCTCACGGCTTCTGCGCAGCATGCGGAAAGTGCGGTGCTATCCTGTCTTCGCTGCTGTTTTCGCACCTTGCTAGCGCGACGTCGCTTGGCAACCAGGGCGTCTTCTGGATCTTCTTCGGTGTGTCGGTTTTGGGTGCCATCGTCACCTTCTTCCTGGTTCCCGAGACCAACGGCTACGATGCCGACGAGGAGGACCGCCGCGAGCTCGCTGCGCGCGCTGGTGTCCAGTAAGCGCGCGCAACTTTGCTTCTGCCGCCTTCTGAGCCCGTTCCACCCCTCAAAAGGAACCATGACATGCTTTCGGTTCTCACGGTCCACGTATATCCACGGGCGGGCTCATGCGCGCTTTGTTTCACCTTCCGTACTTTAATTGGGGTTTTAGTGTAAATGTCACTTTCTCAACTGGATTTTCGCAGTGTCAATGTGTGAAGGATCCGGTGAGCAGTCTCTCATCTTGAAGTCACCGTGTGGGTGCTGATCTTCGGCAACTTCGCCCAGCTCGGTGACGGTGCGGAGCATGCATACCGAGCGCGGGAGGGAGGACGAGGAGGATGAGGAGGCGATGAGGAGGAGCGCGTCTGCAAACACCGCTGTCAAAATGTGCCGTGCGACCTGTCGGAAAATCTCACACTGTGGCGACGCGGGAGTCCGGGAAAGCAAATAGGTGAGTGGGCACCGAAATTCACTCTGGTCGAAAATTGAGTGTCAAAAAAGGAGACGAAATTCAAACCGACGGCACCTCGACTGTGTCGAGCAGGTCTGCGAGAGAGAGCACGGGTCGCGGGTCTGGACCGCTAAGCCGCATTTCCCTGCGTGCCTCCACCGGGTAAGTCAACTTGTGGGCAGAGTCAGCTCCGCATGCGAGCTGCGACATGCAGGAAGAGCGCACCGAACGATCTTCGGTGCCTCCACAGGAGGGTCCCAGACGAAAGTTCACATTTCACACTCGACTCGAGACTAGACGGCAGCCTAGCTTGTGGACCCAGGCTGCAGTCGTCGTCGTCGTCGTCGTCGTCGACGTTGCTCCTCCCGTCCTCTCACACCGTCCTCTCACGCCTCAAGGCTCTCGGTACACAGACTCGACATGCTGGATGCTCTGGTTATCAAGGCGCTGCGTGCGATCCTGCCGCTGGCCACCGCCGTGATCACACCTACTCAACCGCCTGCACCCAAACCGGATGTCACCACTTACATCCCCTCGCCGTTTGTACCCGGCAAGATCCCGACCAAGCAGCACCGACGTCGGCTCAAGGCGGATATCTACGAGCCGCCCGGTGCGCCCGACGACGTGGCGCTGCCGGTCGTCATCAATCTGCACGGCTCCGGCTTCTGCTTCCACACGCACGGCGACGATTCGCGCTTCTGTGCCTACGCCGCTCGCACGCTTCCCGCCGTCGTCATCGATGTCGATTACTCGCATGCGCCCGAGCATCCATGGCCAGCCGCAATCGAAGACGTCGACTCTGCCGTCCTCTTCGTCAAGCACTTTGCGCGCGAGAACCGCAAGCAGCGCCGGCGACACGGTGCCGTCGGCGCGACCGGCCGCAAGGAGTGGCTGTGGGACTCGGACCGCATCGCGCTCGTCGGCTTCAGCTCAGGCGGCAACTTGGCGCTCATTGGTTCCACGCGCGCCGAGGCTCACGGTGGTGTCCAGGCCTCGGTAGCTTTCTATCCCTCGACCAACCTTGATGAGGATCCGTACGACAAGCCGCAGCTCTCGCCAATCAAGGGCGCGGCGGGCGGGACGATGCCGCCATGGCTGCGAAAGATGCTCTACACTTGCTACGTACCGATCGAAACAGTCAAGGACCGAAAGCAGCCACTCATCTCGCCACTCTTTGCTGATCCAGCTTCGTTCCCGCCCTCGGTCACCATCCTGACCGCCGAGCAAGACTCGCTTGCGCGCGAGGGAACGCGCCTCGCAGACCGCCTCGAAGCGAGCGCTGCCTACAAGGGCTCCGTCGTCCACTGGCAGGCGGAAGGTCAGGGTCACAACTGGGACAAGATGACCCAACAAGGTTCTGCAGCCGCTCAACTTAAAGACGAAGCTTATGCGCTGGCGGTCGGTCGCATCCGCGATGCCTTTGCGTCCGTTGCAATCGGCTACGACGATGTCCGCGAACAAGAGGAGGACGAGGACGAGGATGATGCAGATGACGCACAGGACGACAGTCAAGACGTCCTTGCAGGTGCACGTAGCCTTTCACAGCTCGGACGCCGCTCCGATGCGGCCGACTCACGCCCACTGTCACACTCGCGATCCAGCCTCAACACTTCAACGACCGCCGCCGGCCGCGACTCGCTCTCCCGCCCTGCCACTCTGAAGAGCCCCAAACTTTAAGCTCTGCCCAACTGTCTTTCACAAACTCATCACAGAAATATACCCTTGCTTGTTCAAATGTTGTTCCACACACTGGGCGTTGGTTGATCGCTGAGTCCAAGTTGAAACCACATCTGCTGTGACTCGGAGCCGGATCGAATCACAACTCTCCGACCTTTTTGATGTGCTTGAGCGGAAGCTGGATGCGCTCGTTGCGGCGCCAGAAATCAAAGAGGATGCGAGCCGTGCGATCTGGTGCGTCTTCGTGCAGTGAGTGACCCACGTCGGCAATCACTTCGAGCTGGTACTTTCCCTGCATCTGACCGATCATCAACTCGCGGTCCAGCCGATCGGTTCCAGCGAGCAGGAGCAGGCGTGCGGATCGCACGCTGAGGAAGCGCGACGAGAGCCCTTCGAACCAGCCGCGCCAGTACGGCTCAGTGGAGAGCAGGTCCGCTCTCCACTTGTATGCGTGTGTGCTGCTCGCCTTGTCAGTTTCGTCTGCCTCGTCAAGGATTTCCTGCGGCTCGTACGTGTTGTCCGTCTCTGTCGAGAGAGCTGAAGCGGAATGAAGAGGGTTGGGCTCGACGAGGGGCGGGACGCTGACACGTGCGCTCTCGGCATTGACGATCGTCTTGCTGTCGACGTGCCAGCGGATCGCATCCTGCACCGAAGCGAAGCCAGAGGGATGGCTGAGCACGACGCTGCGCATCACCTCGAGCGCGTCCATGGCAGTGCCCTCGACGACGTCGAGCACAGCTACGCCCGAGATGCGGGTGAATCCACTGGCAGCCAGCGCATGCGCCGCAGAGACTACCACAGAGCCGCCCATGGAGTGCCCGACGAGAACAAGCGACGGCATCTCGTCCGCGCGCGGGTACAGTGTCGAGAGCAACAAGGTCAGATCCGACGAGAGAGTATCGATCGACATGTCGAGCGGAGTTGCTTCAACATTGTGCAGCTTGGTCCGGCCGTGACCGCGACAGTCGTACGCCAGCAACCCGACTTCGCCTCCGCTCTGCCGCTTCAGCTCGGCTGCCGTCAGTGCAAACGAGAGAGCGCTGAAGCCCGCGCCGTGGTGGAAAACAAATAGCGTCCCGGGGTTTCTTGCAGCTGACGCCGAGGTTGCATCGACCGTATCCTCGTCGTCCTCGTCACCGGATAGCCCGAGCTTGCGGTCCAGTCTCGGCAGCGCAGATGACTGCACGTCAATATCGATGCTGGCGATTGACGCAGCTGCGGAAGGTTTGACATTTGGCTTCAGTGCATCTGCAGCCTTGGGTCGGGGAGGGGTAAAGTAGACTCGAAAGGAGCCGGATCCTTTCCGAAGCGGAACGTCGACCTCGAGCGCTTGCTCAAAGTATCCCTCGGCTGTCCTGGGGGCAAAGTCATCAGCACGTCGTTGTGCTCTTCGCCTGCTGTGTAGATCTGAGCTCGATGCCGACGCGATGCTGGGACCCGCATCACCGAACGAATCGCCCGACTCAGCCTCGGCTCGTTCCTCCTCGTCGGCGCCGGTTGGAAAAGGTGGCACTGGCGGGAGTCGGCTCAGCTTGCCCTTGAGGAACGATCGCTGAAGGTCTGACATGGTCGTGTGTCCGAGTCGACTGGATATTGGAGGCCTTAATGGCAGGCAGCGAGGGAATGACTTCGAAGGATTAAGTCAAAGTCGGAGGAGGGTCCGAGCGGGTGGAGGCGCACTCAAGAAAAAAAACCGCACTACGTGTTACGTCGCTTTCGGACCTCAGTATCATACTTCTCACAATCGACATCCCAAGAGACACCTGACATTGCACGACCGCGAACGGCCAATCTACACATGGTACCTCCAGTCCAGCCTGCGGTCGCCGAGATGCTTAAGCTCTTCCTGGCTCTGCTCTGCATCCTTGCCGTTGTTTTGCGCCTGGAGAGCATCTCTGCGACGGTTCTCCCTGCTGAGGATGAACCAGAGTGTTGAAGCGGCGGCGATGCCGAAGCCGAGCCACACGATGCTGAGGCCGTGGCTGATGTGGTAGTTGACGTTTCTGAGACCGCCGAGCGGCTTGCGGTAGAGCTGGACACCGATGATGCTTCCCATGTTGCCGAACATGATCTGCATGGCCAGCGCCGTCGCTCGTTTGGTCTGGCCCGAGACGTTTTCCGATGGAAGCGAAAGCAGCAGTGCGTTTCCTGCGTACACACCCGGCGTGGTGATGAAGATGGCCACATAGCGTCCAGCCACTGTCGGCGAGGTGATCTGAACGATATATCCAAGGATGGCAAGCAGTGCGCAGCCGATGATGAAGACGAGTCGTCGGTTCACGACAAACGAGATGTGCGCGATCGTCATGGTAAAGATGAACGCGAGAAAGTAGGGCGGCACGGTGAGGAGCTGCGCATCAGCGGCCTTGTATCCGAGGTCCGCGATGATGGTCGGCATGAAGAGAGAGATCGTGTAAAGGGCAAAGGCAAAGCCGTGGAAGAGGAGGCCGTAGAGATAGACGTACGGGTCGGTGAATGCCTGCTTGACGCCATCCCAAGAGAAGGTCTCCTCGTCCAGCGAGTCGCGATCCGCCTGCATCTTCGCCGCGATGATGGCCTTCTCGCGATCGGTAAATGAGCGCGACTTCATCGGGTAGTGTGGCACGAGCCAGTAGGCGAACAGCGCCACTACGATGGTCAGTAAGCCTTCAAGGATGAGGATCCAGCTCCAGCCTGCCTTGCCGCCGACACCGCGCATGAAGCCGATGCCGTAGGCAAGGATGCCGCCAAAGGCACCCGAGAAAGCGGCGCCCGATAGCAGCAGCGCTACGCGGTAGTGGCGCTCACGTCTCGGATAGAACATGCTAAAGACAAAGACCGATCCCGGAAAGAGGCCGCTTTCGCTGAGGCCGAGGAAGAAGCGCACGGCGAACAGGCCGGCCTGGTTGTGCACCAAGCCCTGTACCACCGAAATGATGCCCCATACGAGGGTGAGCGTGGGCAGCCAGACGGGTGGCGAGGTCTTCTTGAGCACTAGGTTCGCCGGAACTTCGCCGATGACGTAGCCGACGAAGAAGAGCGTTAGGGCGGTCGAGTAGTCGCGCAGGTTGATGTCCTTGACGAGACCATCGAGCTTGGCATTGCCGATGTTGCTCCTGTCGAGGAAGCTGAGCAGGTAGAGAACGAGGAGGATGGGCACGACGACAAAGTCGATCTTGCGCACGAGCTTTCGTTCTTCCTGGCGCGTGTATCTCACCTCGCCGTGGGAGGCTGTTGTGACGACGAAGACGTCCATCTGCGCTTCGTGTGCCTCGGAGAGCGAGGCCTCCTTGCCCGAAGGCGGAGTGACCGTGGGCGATACCTCGCTCATTTTCGATGGAGAGCAGGTGGATGCAGATGTGGTAGTTGAGGAGGAAGTGGGGTCAAGCTCGGAGGGCCTCGCTACTTGATAAGGGCCCAGGTAGGAGCTCGGCGAAGTTGGCAGCCTACGTCAAGGAAAAGCCTCGTGGCTGTGGCGCGATGCTAGTCAGGAACGAGAAGGCCGTGTTGGTTTTTGCATCGCCGACGAAGCCGGGTGGTCAGGGATGATAGCCGGAACGGAGCATGCTCCGAACCTTTGGTCTTGCGCCCCAGACATCGCCGCAGCCGGCGGGTGCTGATGCAATCCGTCGAAGGCGTGAGATGCATTTTGGACCGACTCTTGGCACGGTGATACCACGAGATTCGATGGGCGGAGCGGAGAAGGGCAAGCACGTCAGTCTGACAGTGATTCGCGGGGCAGGGGCAGCCGAGGCCGGCGTGGAGACCCAGATCACCATCGACCAGCAGATGTTGCGTGCTCGGCTGCAGCGGACGTACGAAGCGCAATGCTGGACAGGTGGGGAGCTTTCACCATCATTCGTGGGCTACAGCACGCCATCTGTCCAAGCGAGCCTGTCGGAAGCCGGGGATAGTAAGTTGTGGATTAGTCCGGTCTGACATCTTAAGAAATAAACTCGCGCCGTGTTAGAGCGGCAATGAAATGACTACAAAAAGCCCGCATCGAGATCTCCGAGACGATGACGCCACGAGCCTCGCTTGAGCGCCAAGCACATGTGCCTGTCGCACCCGTCAAAGAGGGGCGCCTAGGACCGGCCTCAGTCTGACTTGGTCGACAAGCAGACCGCCGTGCGCTCCGATCCCTTTGCTGTGAGCGCCTTGACTTGTGGTCGGCCTGTGTGATCCAAGGTATCACGGCTTGGGAGAGGGGTTATCGATGGAGCAATGGCACGTTGCAATGGACCCTGGGCGCACCTGCATGCAGAGCGGCGAGTCCTGAGCAGGAAAGGGCCAGGCGAGTCGAGTCAATAAAATTCAAAAGGACACGGCTCTAGATGTGGCGGCGCGCTGCCGCTCCAGAATCCTCCGCGGGCACACGGCCCAACAATGCGCCCTGCAACTGCTTTCGGTCGTTGGGCGCGTTTTGTCCGATGCTCGCAAACAGCACTGCATTCCTGCCTCGGGGTGGCAGATCCGAACGGGCCAACGAGAAAATAGCGCAAAAAAGGGAAAAAAAAA